TCCAAAGTGAACCCGCCATCAGGTACCCCGGGAGTATTCAAGCTGACAGTTTGGCGAAGGTTAGTCCATTGACCTGGAACGAACCTGAAAGAGCCGCGACCCAATGAAAGCCCGTAGACCTCGTTGCACTCTGCATCTGGAGCTTGGCACAGTGACGGCAGCTGCTTTGATTTGTCCGCATACTATCGCTCAAAGGATTAAGCGCTGATATTCATGCTCAGATCGGTTTTTACTCACGAAATAAAGCTCCCCTGCACCCTGGGGTCGCCACATGAGACGAGTCGAGAAACAACTGTCAGCCACGTCCCCCCCACTGCAACCCTCATGACCTCCATAGAGCCCGGGGAGCTTCCCGCCCTTGACAAATTCCATATTCGCGTCGACAAAAACGCTGTATTCCATTGTTACGTTCGTTGCAGTGTTGAGCGAGATTGGGGTTGCATAGAAATCTGCTCCACCTTGAGGTTTATTTCCAGGGTTGATGGAGCCTTTTGGATAGAACAGCTGCATCGAAACGTCGGTGTCGTTGTCCCACTGGACGAATGTAGTGCCAGATGCTGTCGCCGAAGGCTGAGATGCTTCACTGTTGGTCGGTGTCGTCGGTACTGCTACAGGCGCTGTGGCGGTTGCTGGGATGCCAGTTACAATCTTGATGTTCGTTTCGCCGCCAGCATACTTTTGAACTTGAAAGGAGTCCAGGTTTGAAAAGGTACGAGGCAGAGACCAGGTCGATAGCGGATTGAATGATGAGACCGTTGAAACAGGGACGGACGATGTAATAGTGCCTGGAAGAGGGTTCGACAATGCAGTGGCGCTCGTAGCTGGGCTTTGGGTAGCTGATATGCTGGATGAAGGGGTAGCAAAGACGGTGATTATTTGGATCGGTCCATCAGGGGCAGTGGTCGTAGTCGTCGAAGCAGCGGTGACAGTAGGTGGTGCGAATAATGGGATAAAATCCACAACGGTAGGTATCGATTGCGCCACGGATATTATGTCAAAGAGAGTGGTGGTGATAGGTGTCAAATCCACCTCGACGAATGGCAAAGAAGGGTCTTGAGGCCGTGGTAGAGGCAGAGCGATGATGCGGCCAGCGCACGCGAGAAGTAGCCCCAACAGCATGTCGAAGGGGCCAGTGTGGTAGAGACAGCTACAAGGGGAGTTTTAGCTTGGCAGCTGTTCTTATATAAACTGAAACCTTCCGCTCAAGGAGGGCGGAATGTTTCAAGTAGTCGCACTATGACAACTTTTCAGTGACACAGTCAGCTCTGGGAAAAGAGAAACAGGTAAGCTTGAAGTGCATACATCTGGTATCCATGATGTTGGAACCGAGAGGTGTAAAGATAGAGTGCGCGATGGAGTTCATATTGCAGGAGTTTGCTAGTTATAAAAACATGTATCAACAAATGTAATACCTTCCGTCTGGCATCTATAGGCAACTCAAGGGCTTTGATATACTGCTAATGCATATCAGCAGTGCAGCCTGGGGCGATGGGAATTCCCCCGACCAACGCTGTCCCCAGTTGCAGAAAAATGCAAGACTCCCAATGATCGTCAGCTTCCACCAGCCTGATATAACCAACATAATGCCGAAACATATGTAGGCCACAGACGAAAGAAGCGTAAAAAGTGCACGACAGGAATATGGTGGGCATGGATAGAGTCCCATGCATAATGTCTACCAAGGGACATTGGCTCTCAAGGGGACCTGACTAGAAAAATCAATTGTTAGGTTGTTGCGAAATTTTGGACAAAGGAAAAGCGCACGGTTCGTCCGATGATGGGGGCGTCATGGAATCCGACTCTCTCCTAGGACGTTCCGGAGAATCAGCACTTGTTGACCTCGCTTTCGTATGCAGCTCGGGCGAGACTGCTATGCCACTACTCGGGGTCTCGGAAAAATCATCGTCATCGCTCGACGGGTGTTTCCACGAAAACTGAGGTCCTGGTCCATCGAGTTGCAAAAAAGGGCGAACGTCGAATGTCGCATTGGTGAACGGGGAAACATCAGGACCAGCGAAAGGATGGTTGTATAAGTCCGTATGCCTAATGGGGGGTGAAGGAGGATCGCGCAGGTCGGTGGTGACACTGGTAAGCTCTGGCCTAAGTGACTCTGTGCTATCCGAAAAAGGAACGGAGGGTCCATCGAAGGTTGGATGGTTTGTGGGAGTCGGCGAAGTAGAGAAAAACTGTTGGAACCGGACGCTATTAGGTGGAGGCAGGTCGGGGTCCAGAGGATTGTAGAGTGTGATGTTTGGCTTCGGCGGACGGGGGCGTTGGCGGGATTGAGTTCCATACACCCAGGCATTGACGCAGAAGCTGTAGTCCGGCTTGATTAGCGGCATATTGGGGTACGTTATCAATAATTGGAGTCTTACAACATGGTTCCGAGTGGCAGCCAACTAGATGATTGTAAAAGAAGAATTCGAGATAAGTCTGCGCTAGCTCATGGAACCTGAGAAAACCATACGTGCCTTGCAGCCAGATGGTTCATAGATTGGAATGCGGAGGTGTGAAGACGCTTTAGCAGTTCCACTGTTTCAGGAGGCACATCCACTCGCTTCTCCGCGGCCCACAGGCGAGTGTCGATCACTAATGCACTTGAACACAAGGCTGAAGCAATGTTGAGGGACCAATACTCCGGACTCCGCATGAGGAGGACATTAACCACGTTAATCACACGCATGGCAGTACGACCCGTCATGTCTTCTTGGCTCAAGGGAATTATCCTGGATGTGGGGGCAGCTGGCTTGAGAGGGTCATGGGTCACGAGCCGGGCGTAGCAAAGTGTGGTGTCAAGTTCGGCCGCCCGTTCCAGAGCAACCACGCTGTCCGTTTCTGGTGACCATTTCACTGAGAGGAAAATGAATCAAGTCATCAAAATGTTTCGCGACAAGATTTCATAATGGACGCACATTCAGGAGGGAGAGAAGCGAACCAATCTTCCAGTTTTGCATCAGTCTTTTCGACCACTGCCTCCTTTGAGGCAAAGCCCCAAATCTTGTGCAAGGCACGACGACTTCGTTGTAGGCGGAGGGTGAATGAGACGGGCATGCTGAGCTGTAATTGGGCCCGGAAGTAATCGATGGTCTTGGCTTCTTCGTTATTGGTCTCCATGAGAGTGGGCTCGGGTAGATCGAGGTCCATACTACAGCAGGTGAGATAAGGGTGAGATAAAGGACAAGCAGGCCAATGGATACGACTCTGCTTACTATTCTGCAGGCAACAGCTCTGCCTGTCCAAGGATATTGCATAGTGATCGATCCATGTAGACGAAGAACCTTAAGCATGAGGAGGTCAACACCTTGCCGCAATAGAGGAGATAACTCTTTGACATCTTACCACGTTACACGCTTCCACATCTCTGCTTCTAGTGGGCCCATCTTTGTCGCAAACGCATGTTGCTGCACTCCAATTTCCTGGGATAACCGGATCCCGGAGCCAAGGACAATCCAAGAAGTATGCATAGCTTTCGTTTCGTAGTGGTAGAGCACTTGGAGCTTTGTACACATTTTCGCGATCAGCCAAGTGGACAACTCAGACGACTAAGTGAGCCTACACACCGCAATGATTTGAGCTTCCACGAGCCGTGCAGAGCCTGAGATATTGAACTGGTTCGGCTTGTGCCTCATGGTTGAAATATACTGCCAACCGGGAGGATTCGGGCTGGATGCCGGAATTGCCTCTGGGTCGTACATCGAGGCGACCGCGCACACCATGAGAAGTAGTCGAGCTTGAGATACGTCGCGGCGATGAAGGAGGTCGGAGCACTGGACTTCTAATGTGGGCTTGTGCAGGATTGGGAAGAACGGAGCAACATGGCGGAAGTACAAGTCGAGTAGTTTTTGCAACTCGACATTATCGGGTAGCCTTGCAAACACTGAGTAGTTGTCTTCAAAACTCGTCTCACTCTCCCAGTCGTACTCGCTCTCGTCTTTGAATCGAATGGGGGGACGCGGAGGGAGAGACGCGTCTGTGCTCGCGTCATCACGTACATCGTACGCAAGGGACACAAGCGAGATCCCTACAGACGGCAATATGTTAGCAGAGGAATCTTTTGAGTCTTGACGAGTTCCCATTAAATGCTGCGCCGGAATACATACATGACGAGTCACCAAAATGTCGTCCTGTTGAGCTCCACGCATAGTCTTCAAACTCGGGGCGGGGGCGAGATGGTTGGACCTCTTCACAATTGGTGGATCGATACGGACGATGGGCAAGTACTTGTATATCCTCGTTGAACATTCGGTTATCCGACTTGACAGGCGCTTTGATTGTCGCAGTCGCAGGTGGTCCTTGGAGTCTTCCTCGTTCTTTCTCGGCGGTGATGTACTACACAGGGCAGATTTGAGTGGTGGAGAGGGGCCGGCCAATGAATCAATGCTCAAACCCAAGATGCGCACCTTTATCAGCAAGGAGTCTAAGCTCTCAATTCGGTCCTCCAGCTGCTTTGCGTACGCAAAAGTAGGTTCAGATCGTTTGTTTGCTGCGACATAGGTACAGGTAGACTTGGAGTTGACGCAGGCTTTACATCGAGAATTGTCACCACCAGAGGGTCGGCATTGAATCTATAACATATGGTACAAGAAGGGCGTTTCTTTGAGTGTCGGTGGGCCAAGATAGGAGACGGTGCAGAAGGAGAGCCTGCAATGGTAAAACATGATATCGCCGAACAGTACCTTGCGCTTTCTACATGAATCGCAAGCTCGTTGTCGTTTTACAGAGTGCTCATTATCTAGGGCCAGAGATGCCATGAGTGCAAATGGTGGGTTGGGTTCAGGCCGAGTTTGTCGCAGATGCCCGAGCCGTGCAAAGTGTGCCTGCGTCACGTTCAGGTGGTGACTAAGCGAGCATGACGGCAGGGGAAATCGATCAAATTTTCATATTTTGAGCCTCTGCTGGGATGCTAGGAACAATCCTTGAACCGCTATTGTGCTGCTAGAGGTGGGGGTACCCAAAATAAGCGGAAGGAGAGACGGAGGAGGGGCCAGCAAAAAAGCCACTGCCCCCCATGTGGATTGAACACACGACCTTCTGTTATGCATGAAAATACAAGACAGATGCTCTACCACTAAGCTAAGGAGGCGAGATGTACTCTGCAGCGTTTGCAGCAGTCAGATCGTACTTTGACCTATTTAATCTGAATTTTGGGAATTTTCACACATCTCACCTCCCCCTCTCCCCCGAAACAAACAGAGGATCAGCAGGCACTACTATACTGTTGGGCTGATTAATATAACAGATACCCTCGGTGATTTAAATGAAGTATGGGATGGCGAGAGCACTCAACATGTCATGTAATCAAGGTGGAGATGCCCAAGCTGGCGGAGCTGGTCCATCAAGAACCAACCGTCCCAAGCTACCTGACAGTTCTGCCCCATTGCGACTCTGCTGGGCCACTAGTCATCATCATCATCATTGGCATTGCTGATGGGAAAAGGTAAAGCGATGTACACGACATGAGACGTACCTTGAAGGCATCCAGTGGAACATCAGATCAATTGTAGCACTTCATCACATCCAAAGGCCTACTAGCATAAGGTGTTTGAAGGGGATACTCCGATTGCTCATATAGTTCGAGGCATACAATCTAGTATATCCCAGAGTTCTTATCGGGATAGACGTCTCAGAAGGGCAATACTTGATCGGCCAAATATTTATTTCTCATTTTTTATTATCATGGCTCTGAACTGCTTTTACGAGTCCTTAAGGTCGCTAAAATGTACTCAGGCGGTAGTCTCTATAGGCTCCATGTGATTCGGCATTGGAGTGTGGCTCTGAACGTTATTGTAGGTTCAGGAGGCCCAGAGCCCCCACTCAACAAGCTTGGCTTTATTGGCTAAACTTAGGTGAACTTGGCTCACGTAGAAGCGGAGCTGGCCTCCTCTCTATTTCGCGCCGCGAAAATCCTTTGCAATGACACTCAGAGAATGCCTGATGCCAATGATGCGAATCTGGTATACGTCATCCGCCGGCCACAGCGGAAGTTAATAGGTTGGAGATATCGCCATTTGCACTGTAATGTTTTCCTTGCAAAGTTGATGCGGCCCTTGACCTGAGTTGAGATGCGATCTTGATCTGTGGGTTGGTCTGTATGCTCAACTTCTGCAGACCGCTCTTTGCATATGAAGAACACGCCTCTAAGGTCTCTGAGGTCGCAGCTAGCTTGGCTTGAGGCACGGCACCTACTGCCTTACGACCGAGCCGGCTAAATTAGACCTGGTGGTAGGGAGGATGAGGCTGTGAATTAGTGCGTGATTGATTTCTTTACGATTTGGAACGGTCTAGACTGGACGGCTATTACTCAGGGAGGAAAGGGACGTGTGTCAGTGGAGAGGCATGAAATATGGTAGTGAATGCGCTCTTGAAGGGACTAGGAAGATAGAGTTGATGTTATCAGGGCCATTTGACCCATTCCGCGTCTAGAATTGACTCTACTCGTAGCACCAGACGACTTCAGGGATCGTATGAAAGCGCGGGAGGCGGGGATAGGAATGAGAGGAGGCGAATGTCAGCCGCTACCATTTGTCCCTGGCGTATCAGGATCCATACCAGGAGCCTCCTTAGTGGGGCTAGCTTATTTGGGAGAAGCGGAATTGTTGATCGCAGCAGTAGCGGGGTAGGCTGCATGGCGATTATTGGTTGTGGCTGCATTGCGGTTGGTGACGATGACATTCAGAGCCACAGTCCACTACCAAACTGGTCAAACCCCACAGAAACTATAGTTTAAACGCAGTAGGGGGTCCCTTGGGACTCACCCTATCGCGGTGGAACTATCAGAGTGGAAGAAAGGAGAAAAATGCTGGGCATAGCTGGGTCCTGATCAATCATCACGCTATTGAAGCGCTCATCTCGGCACCAGCAAAATGTCACACCAAGTTGCTTATGCTGAGCAATACTATGAGCCAAAAAATCGCTTCTGAGTACAGCATGGTAGTATACCTTCTAGTTTGATAAAGTATTGCAATTGATCTCTTGATGGACCAGCTCCGTCAGTTTGGCCATCTCCACCTTGATTATGTGACATGTTGAGTGCTCTCGCCATCCCATACTTCATTTAAATCACCGAGGGTATCTGTTATATTAATCAGCCCAACAGTATAGTAGTGCCTGCTGATCCTCTGTTTGTTTCGGGGGGAGAGGGGGAGGTGAGATGTGTGAAAATTCCCAAAATTCAGATTAAATAGGTCAAAGTACGATCTGACTGCTGCAAACGCTGCAGAGTACATCTCGCCTCCTTAGCTTAGTGGTAGTCATCTGCAAACATTAGCCCGCTTGCTGATGATACACGCCATGGCGCTCGACTGCCTCAAGAATGTCCTCCGACAAAAGTTCCGAGAGCTGTTGAGAGCTCAAGAGATCGAACAGGGCGGTTTATACGAGGCGGTCAAGAGGAAAGTTCTGCGAAATAGCGAGGTACCCAATACGAGCGGTGGACAAATATAGCAAGTCGCCCGGGATGAAGATGACGGTGAGGGATTCCGAATCTTGCATGAGGTTTCATGACGATCCCCTCCGGGACGGATATCAGCTTGTACCGTAGGCTGCACCTCGGAAAGTATACTGTGAAAGCCGCCCACCGCATCGCCGTCCTCCATACTTGCCCATTCACGCTGCCCGTATCGGTGTCGGGGGCGGGACAAATCTCGCCACATGGGTTATATAAACAAGGCTCGATCACGAAGCATGAACACCGCTTCTTCATCGCTCGCCAGGTCTTGGTATTGCAGCCGAGCAGAACATGCTGTTTTCTTCCATGGCAACAGAAGTAGAGTAAGTAAGTGGAGGAGGACTGTGCAAGGATGATTCATCATCCGACCCTCCTTCCGAGCGCGGCGCCCGGTCGTCGCGAGAGCCACGGCTTGAACATACCCGTACCCGAAACTCTCTGAAAGTTCTTTCGGATTTAGGCTATACTGATTCAGTCGACCAGCTACCCACCCAATCGTATGCAACGGAAGCAGTCCAAATGAGTCAGAAAGCAAAAAGTTGGATTGCAGATAGATATAGGCACGTAAGGTAGCTACACACATGTAAGTCTGATAACAGTAACATTAATATTACAATGCTAAGATGCGAAAAAGAATAATGCCGAGTTGCGTGAGTGGGAGCCATACATTTGTCATTCTCAAAGCTTAAGCTAAAGCGGAACGTTTCGTTTGGCGAACGAAGTCAAGGTAACCGAGATGGTTAGCACGGGGTGGGTGCGCATGCATTACGTCCCTCCCTACTTCGCTCGCCTAGTCTCGTCGTCATCGTCATATAATAAAACATATCACACACACGCACGCATGTACACGCAGACACGGAAGCGAGGGCTCATGGCGAAAAGTACGCCTCGAGCCCCTGTGTAGGGTCTGGCGGCGGTGGTGAGCTTGTGCGTGATGACGAGTGTGAGAGGAAGGCGGGACGCGGGGATGGTCGTTCCGACGACGCTCGTGATGATGCTGCTGATGATGACGTGGATGATGACGCAGACGATGAAGTGGAGAATGAGCGCGGATGGCGAGAAGAGCGGGATCGCATCCCCCTGCTCGGGCGCGCAACGATTTTGGCCCAGTGCTGCATGACCTGCGCCTGCTTGACGATTGCGGCGTTGACGCGGCGCATCTCAGCATGTAATAGCGCCGCCCCCTCGCTCATATTTCCAAACTGCTCGAAGGTCGACAAGAGCTCAAAGTCTGATTCAGGTAATGAAAGCATCCCGGCGGAAAGCCCAATATCATCGGCCTGATTTGTCAGGTCGGTCCGCCAATCCAGTAGTTCGTAATACGTTGCGCGCGCCATGTCAAAAGCGTCGATCGCATCGAGTTGCGATAGGCAAGCATTCGAGGAAGGAGAAGGATAGGGCATGGGCCGCTTACCGAGCTGCGCACGCGAGAGAGAAGGGGTTTCATTATTGGAGCCGTGGGTTCGGTAGTAGATGTTCTCTCCAAGAATGGATGAGTGTGGGAGAGGGTAGGGATAGCGATACGACTCGTATGAATGGGAATGCTTGTCGTCCAATGCCGGTCGTCGTGCAGCTGACTGAGACTGGGAGTGGACGGTGGAATAGGATTGGGTGTGGGAATCGGAAAGGTGGGATGAGGACGAAGATGAGGATGATGATGAGGGTGAGGGTGGGATGCTGAAATGCCGCGGTGCGGCTGGGGAATGTGGCTTTGTTTCGTCCTCGTCGTCGTTATTGTTGTAGACCACCTCGTCGTCTAGCGCGTTGAGGTAAGCGCTCGGGGAGTTGGATGGATCAGGTGCAGGCTGGTGCCAGTAAAGGTAGCCTGTCTTCGTTTCGAGCTATAACGTAATGACACAGCCGTCAGCCTTGAGATGCATATTTTGGGGGCCAACACATGCTCGGCGAGGGGACGCATGGGGACAAAGGATGCGCAACGCACCTCGAGGAGAGAATCGTACAGAGATGACGCCATGCTTTGGTGAGGCGGGGGTTATGACAAATTGGTTCAAAGTTGGGAGAGGGGTTTGAGAATGTGGGGAAGAGCGCGAGGATGGATAGAGCTTTATGGACGAGCTCAACGACAGCAGCCACAGCAAGCACGCAATGACCAACCGATGCGGTCGGGACGGGAGAGGACCGATAAGGTGGTGGTAGGGGAATAAAGGGGAGGGAAGGGGCGATCGAGGGGCGCGAAGCTGACGAGAAAAAAAGTATTACGATGTTGTTGTATTTGTAGAGCTTGAGAGCACGATGATTTCCCAGTTGGGGCGAAAGCCGATCGGTGACCTTTTGCTCAAGGCTTGTGACTTTTCACAAGCGCTATGATTCGCCGTCCTCCAGGGGTGTTGTTGGTGGATTTGCTGCTCCGACGGCTTGACGCACTGACGCTAGAGAGAGGGGACGGGGGCTGAAGCGCACAGGTTCGAAAAAAAAGCGGGGGAGGCGGGGGACAAGAGTCTTATGACTGCACAGACTCAAACTTTATTATATTGGTGGAGGGGTGGGGAGGATCGATTTTATAGCATCCAGCCATTATCACGCGGGGGCCCCGACTTTGCGCGTAACCAACTGCATGGGTCTGCTGTACGTTCTTCCTTCCCCTCGTGGTCAATACGGCCGACGGGGCGATGGTT